GCGAAATATGGAAATGACTTACAGCATCTAGCTGTCCAGGGAGCGGTGAACGAGGTTGCTGTGTGAGGAGGCCCTGTTGAAGCGGACCCGACATCTGCATATTTTGTGATGGATACTGCTCAGTAGTGACACGTAATTCCACAAGGCACTCGATGATTGCCTGAAGTCTCTGGGTAGCCACAGTCTCACCGTGCCTTTCCTTCTCAATCTCCCGAAATATCGCAGAAATGAGAGCTTGACTAAAGGGCTTCAGCATTATATCCCTCCAAATCATAAGGGCAAGCTGTTAGAAAGAAATCAAAAAGGGAAAGTTGGATAGCAAATGGCAATGACTTAAAATACGAGAGCGACAAGTGAAAAAGTCAAAAAACAGCTTTGTTGTAGTTTAGCCTTAGCAGTACTGATCTAACCACGTGGTAAACGCACATATAGCTATCAGTCTGCATGCATTATAAGCTTAAAGGTCTATCAGTCAAATCGCAAGACTGTGAAAGGGGCGATTTCCGTCTTCAAATGCCAACGAAAATAAATTATCATAAATTTATGTTACTACCTCGGAGGAACATCCATGATTACAAATCAGCGGTTTGACATTGAATTCTTAGCCTCACGATGGAAAAAATTTGAAGTCCATAACGCAGGGGTTTGATATCGGAAAGAAAATTGGAATCCAGCACAGCTCCTTAAATTACAAACAACCGCCGACGTATGTGGTAGTCACGTCTTGAAATTATATGAACTGGTCAGAAAAGTACTAGCAGAGCCGTTAAATGTGCGGAGGCTTGTGACGAACGCTAGAAAATATTTTTCTTGAACTGATACGAGAAACAGTTGTCTGATAGTTGATACCATGACTTGCAAGCCCGTTAATGAAAATATTTGAGTAAGTGACATTCGATGACAACAATAATAGAAAAATAATAGCCCACCCGCCGTCATTAATGCGAAGGTCTGACAGAAAACGCATCAAAATGCTTGCAAAAGCTGTAGCCAACTACAACATATTTTTGTAGGCCCTTGGAAAGGAAATGCAGTGAGGCCGAAACGTTAAATTCTTGACATTAAGCTACCAAAAAATCTGAACGATATGTCGGCCCGAAGCGAAATGGGACCACGATTTTATGGTGTGTTATCTTACCGTGGTCGCAAGAAGGAATTTAAAGCTGAGATTTAAGGAGAATGAAAGCATACTCACCGCATAAACAACAACGATGCTTTTCCGACCTTCTTCGAATTCTCTCTTAACCCAATTTCTGTTGAGGTACCGAAAGGCACCGTCAAGGACATTGGATGAGAAACGAAAACTACGCCATGACTTCTCGAAGAAGGATAAAAGTTCTTCACCCATGAGGCTTTCACCTTCCTATAGTGAAGATATCAAGACTACAGGAGGACTTACTGCACGCAAGGAGGTGACACGCTGTTTAAGATACTCGCGTAGCTTTTTATACAGCTCCAGCCCGATCAGCTTGGAGGTTCCTGAGCCTTCGGCTTGCTCTCGTCCAGAAC